ATACACTTGCAACATAGTCGTTGTAAACATATGCAGCATCCAGATAGAACACTTGCAACATACGTCTGAAACACATAAAACATATGTAAACATCCATTTCAAAATGCTTGCACATATATCTAGAACAGATGAAATATTTTGAACAAATGCTTGCAACAGGTCTCTGAAACACTTGCAATATATGCAACATGTGCAACATCCTGATCTACTTTTGCAACATCCATAAGAAACAACTGCAACATATCTTTGAAATGACTGAAACACCTGAAACATACATTTGCAACACAAGGGGGGGGGGAATCCTGGGCCGATCGATTCCAGCCGTCGAGGTCAGAGGGCGGCGAGCGGCGATGCACGAGCACCTTTAGCACCTAGCACCAGTGGCGCGCACAAGCACAAGCACCACCACCAGCCAGCCCCTACCAGCATCGACATTGGCTCAGCCTGGTGGTTAGCGCGTGCTACGAGAGGGAGCGGGCGGCTCAGCGCACGACTAAAGCGAGGAGCGAGGAGCAGGTGGGGCGCGCGACGGGTGAGGGAGAGGAGCGAGGAGCGAGCAACGTAGGTGGGGCACGTGATGGCATGGGAGCGAGGAGCGAGCGAGCGGCGCAGGGTCATGGCGTGGTGGGAGAAGGCCAAGCGGAGTGAGCGAACAGTGTCCAGATGAGAATAAGAGACACAGGGAGTCAAAGTTGTGGTGCACGTCACGCCACACATCCGTCCGGAGGAAGTTGTTGGCGTCGGACATCCTTTTTGTAGCATTATCGCTTAAAATTAGCATGGGCCTAATTTGAGCGTTTAACACTTGCGCAACAGCAGCTGCCGAACCAATATGTAGCGTTGAAGTGTCCGGAGGAGATGGTGGGATGCTGGCTTCTGTTGGGTTGGGAGCCCAACCTGCTGCTACAGCTTTAATGGGTCGTCGCCAACACGCAGGAGGAAGGAGGAGACACGAGAGGGGTCCGCTACTAGCCGGGCTTAGCCTGGCTGAAAACAGGGGCAGGCCGAAAGGCTAGCCGCAGGTTAAAAAGGAAAGAAGAATTTTCTTTTACTGAAGCTCCAGAAAAGAACCGAAACTCTCCTAAAAAAAAGAACCGAAACAAATTTTCAACAGCACATAATTTACAAGAGTATTTTTACGCACATTATACTGAATTGAACACACCATCCATGACTGATTTATTTTAGTTTAGAAAAACTCGTTTTTACGCACATAAAAACTCGTTGCTAGGGTATGACTACATCAAACATACCATGTCCATCCATGACTGATTATTTTAGTTTAGATTTAGCAAATAATTATTTATTGCACCAAATATTCATGAGAACCGCCAACATTGGATAAATTTAAAATTATTAGAAAAATGTTGAATTAAGTTGTACTTTCTATTCACATCCTAAAATTAAATATTTTGAGGGTGTGTACATTCCTCTTCACCACGGACCATGATAGCAACATGCTGGCATAAGTTATATGATAGATCATCATTGTTAAAAGATTTGCACATCATTAAAAATGATGGGAAGTGTTGCTCGTATACGTACCGTCTATAGGAATTGGTGCTCGTATTCCTCATTGAACCTCTCATGGGTTTTAATGGTTTTGCCTTTTCGTACATGGTGGAGAAGTTTAATTTGCGTCTTCATTTGACGTTGGTAGAAAAAATTCAACATGAATTTTTTGATATCGACTTTGCATCTTTTGGTACTTGTTGTGGTTGTTGTGTTGCTATCTTGCTCGTGTTGCGAGAGGTTTTGTTGTTGGCAGAGTTATCTTAGTTACTCTGTTGTGGTTACTTTCTATTGTAAAGCCATTTAGGGCCGTTGTTGTTTACCCAGTCCGGATCTCTTATGTATCAAAATAATTAGTAGCAGCTGTGGTTGGTTCCTTTAAAAAAGCGATAATGATTAGAATAGGGCGTTCGTTTGCCCTGTCTACCCGGACACACCCATTGACCCACTCCTGTCCGCCCCGCTCAGAAGGCCTTATCCACCGCGCTATCAAACCTCTACGTTCGACTCCACCGCGCCGCCCGCCCGCTACTCACCTTCTCCAGCGCAGGGTCGCTTGCCGCAGGCAGCGCATACGCTCGCCGCGGCCAACGCTGTTGCCTCCACCGCAGGGGCGCCTCGCCACGGTCCACACAGGCAGCGCATGTGCTCGCCACGGGCAGCGCTGTCGCCTCCACTGCAGGGACGCCTCGCTGTGGGAGACCGCACCCGCCCTATCACTGGAGCTGCGCTACCGCTCGCTAGGGCCGTGTAGCTACCTGCCCGTTGGCATCGCCCTCGCCACTTCGTGGCATCGAGCTCTGCACCGGCGTAGAGCTCCGCGTCAATAAGCCTCCATTTCGTACAAGCAACAAGTAGATGTTGCGCTTGAAGGCACATGTTGCAAGCATATGTTTCAAGTATTTTGGATGTTTTATAGGTATGTTGTAAGTGTTTCATACGGATGTTGCAATGGTTGTACATGTATGTTGCAAGCTTCTATTCCCAATGTTTCAATTGTTTTTTCATACGTATGTTGCAAGTGTGTTTATCTGGATATTGCATATGTTTTACATATATGTTTTGCCAGTGCTTTACCTAGATGTTGCTATGTTTACAATGGTTTCAAGTGTTTTTCAGTTGTGTTTTGTTAGTAGTTGATCTGTCTTTAGACATATGTTGCAAGTATTGCATCTGAATGTTTCAAAAGTAGATTGTGTGTTGCATTTTCCTCTCCACGCCTTCTGCTGCCTTGTCTTAGTGTGCCCTCCTCCCGGCACCAACTGGGCATCCATACTATGCCTTGGCCGGGTCCTTTCAAACCAGAGGCGCTGCCCCCTCCCCCTCTTCTCGCTCGGGCGATGTGGGCCTGCGCGGAGCTCGCAAAACAGAGTGTAGGCTAGGCGTCCAGACATGGGCATCCGTCCGGACGTCCGGGCGCTAGCACTGCCGTTAAAAAGGTAATTGTACGCACTACTGATTTGTACTACAACATAGTCACGTCATAACAACACTATAAATTTACGATTTTTTCCCTTGACATATCTACCTATATCATTTTCATATGCTTAATCCCAGTCTGCAGCCAATAAATGACCTTACCAATACTCAGGAACATATTCAATGCAAACCATGTCTCTGGTGAAATCGTGAAAACCGCCTTCAAAAAAATATTTAGGAGCTCTCCACATTTTTTAAACGATGCACATCAATAGTACATCTATAGGTGTAGATTGACACAAAATCTAAGGTGCAAACTCAATATAAAAAAATTCATATGAAAATAACAAATTTCAAGTCCAAATGAACTAAATTATCACTTGAATTTGTTCTTTTGATATGATTTTTACTAAACGAGTTTGCATCTCAACTTTTGTAGTAATATACATCTATAGATAAACCATGGATATACATTATTTTTATTTTTTATGTTTTTCAAGAGGGTTTTCATGATTCCACAATAGACATAGCTTGCATCGAATATTTTTCCCAATGCTCACCATCATGCTTGCAACTAATTGCTACTTCATCTGTCCCAAAATAGAAGACGTTCTCGCTTCCCGAGAAGTCAACATTTTTTTAACTTTGACTAATTATATATAAAAGAATATTAATATTTATAATGCATAATTAGTATCATTAGATAGATCACTGAATATACTTTCATAATAAATTTATTTAGGAATATAAATGTTGCACGCATTTTCTACTAACTTAGTCAAAGTTAAGAAAGTTTGACCTGCATGCATCCCATAACGTCTTCCTTTCAAGGACGGAGGAAGTAGGTTTGGGATCACATTTTACCTATGAAGTGGAGGGCAGCCCAAGTGTGCAGTCACAAATCTTGGAAAATAAGTTAGGGTGGACTTCTTCCATTATCTTCCATCTTTAGCCCGTCCTCTAAAGCTTCTATGGGTAGCAATTTATAGAAGGGTTTAGGAGTGACTCCATGCTTCTGAGTAGCGGTAGTAGGGTTTGAGTTCACCATGTCCCGGTGCTAGATCCAAGCAAATGTGCTATGAGATGGATGGAGCTGAGGTGCCCTTTTTTGAAGAAAAAAAATCAACATTTTGACTGGCTCAAAAGAACTAGGTCCTGAGGCCCAACGTTCACGGAAAAAGGGGCCTAAACTTAACGTTAACTCACCTTTGCTTGTCTTTTTTTATCAGAAATTATTGTAAATGGGATGTGCCTGAATTTCGGCTTTCTTTGAGATGACAATTATTGCATATATTTTATACTAGAATTGTAGCTTTAGTTCGTTGCAATTTATGTAGGCATGTTCTGCAATTTTTTGTTCTGAGAATAAAAAACATGTTAGACAAAATCACAAACCCGATAAAATCTGATCTATGTTGGCACAAAGATAACTAACAATTTACAATTGTTTTTATAGTCGGACAAGAACAAAAAAAACTAATATTTTATGATACAAAGATAAATAACAAATCACAAAAGTAACAAATTAATTGTACTAATTGGTTGTACCAAAAGTAACAAATCATCTTAAAATCCAGACATCTGAAATATATGAAAATTGCCGTTTTTATAATTACCTTAGGTACTAATTTTTGCCCCCATTTATCAGTTCGTTGACCTCCTATTAAATCTACAAATCCTTGAGTAAAACATTATATGGATCACAAGAAAATTCACGATATGTAATAACATTGATCTCAATAACTCTAATGATGTTCTGGACTAGATTCATCCCTAAACTGGTCACATCTCACAAAATGAGATCCCAACAGTGATAGAAATGCGGATAAATCAAGAACTGAATGCGGAGAAATCAAGATGATCAGCTAAATAACTTGCATCGTTTATGTCCAGGAGACGTGTCGTTTATCCCAATAAACACACATCAAGGAGTATCGTTAGTTAATTATTAAAGCAAGCCGTGAAATTTAACTCGAGCTACCTTGGTGTGGTCGTCTCCATCGATCGAGCGATCCTTCACAAATCGCGAACCCCGACGTTTTAAGGAGCGAGAGGGAGTGATGCTACCCATGGTGGAGGGACATGTGGCCGTGATATGTGTCGCAGTGTCTGCGCTGGCCCTCACCGCCGCCGCGCTGGGGATCGTCGGCGAGGCAACAACCAAGTCCGAGGCAACGCGCGCGCGCAGGCTTCCCTTAAATTTGGCCGTTGCAGATGGGTAACTGACTGATGATCGACTCACAAACACCGGTGGTGGTGCAGTCTTTTGTCAGGTTCGACGGGGCGAACTGCGTGTACCGGAGGACGCCGGCGTTCGGGTGCGGCGGCAGCCTCGCTGCTGACGGGCCAGGTCGTCCTCACCGCCGCCGCCGGGTGCTGGGGCCACTGAAGGGCGAGGTTCGACCACCGACGCGCTGGGGTCGCCTTATCTCTGCTCTCATGGTAAGCAGCACAGCACTGAACACAACCTTTGTTATTGGTTCCTCGAAGTTTGTAATTTGGAACAGGCGTCGTCGCTGCACTCTGATCGAGCGGCCGTGCGCAGGTTTCTGGCAATACTGGCGGCGAGCGCGTTCCTCGTCGGCTCTCTCAAGAACCAAAGCGGAGAGCGGCGGCCCAAGGAGGGCGTCACGACGTTGTACAAGTGCACCGTTCTCGTGGCCGGCGTGTTCGCCGGCGGCTCACTCTTCTCCGTCGCCGCGGCGGTAGTCGGGATCGCCTCCTATGTCGCTCATGAGGCGGCGGCAGGCTTCGGTCCGCCGCAACCACCACCACTGTCCGAGACCGAGGGCCCTCGTCAAGGTAGTCATTTTGTGATGCGTGTGGATCGACCAAGGCTCACGCTTTTTTTTTTTGGCGAGAAATGCTAAATAGAACTTGGGCTCTTTATTTTTTTATAGGACGATGATTTCAATTCTGTAACAGCTCAAATATTTCTAAAACGTGACATGGAGCATACAACACGAGCATCATCCTTGCATTCATGAAAAGTTTGAGCATTCTATGAATGATTTTGAATTTAATTTCAGATTTAAAACTCTATTTTTGATATGTGCCTCTGAAGGAACTTAGGATTTCATCATAAACATTTGCTATTAAATTACATGATAAAAATACTCTTTTCCAAATCATGAATTTTTTTCTGAATTTTTGGAAAACGCTTTGGGGCTAAACAGGTTAGTCGAAAGCTTTAAAATAGACTCTCAAGAAGAATTTTAATTTCAAAATCACAAATGATGAGGACATCAACACCGACGACGCATCCGCGCGGACACCAGTACCTATCACTGGTCCTCTTACTCGTGCTCGTGCTCGTAAAATTAATCATCAAGTGAGTTGCCTCTTGAGCTCCTGTCCATCTTGTTTAGATCTTGAAAACGCGTGCACTCTTGTTTTGATTAGAAACCAAGGAGAAGATCAAAAAGGACAAGGATTCACGATGGCTGGATTCGGACTGCAGAAAGGCATCAACTTGTGACCATCACCACGGTTGCATACGGAGTCGGATTCGGGCGCTTTAGGACTTGTTGGAAAGCTTATCAAGTCTACTTTCATATGGAACCAGTTCCACGTCCATATTTGTTCGGCAGCATCAGCAATTATTCAATTACCGTCGAGAGGTCTTTATGTCCAGGGTGCTGCGTCACCTTATTTTAGTCCGATGGGCTATGTATCGTCTTAGGGTCCATTAGGGACGTGTCTTAGGGTTGGAGTACGACCCAAACACCTTGTTGGTCGTCCACCCCATGTTATATAACCTTTGGCCGCCGCCAAGACACTCGGGTTTTGTTTAGATCAAGTTTAGCCTTTGCTACTTACTTATAGACGCGCGTGCTGATCCAGCCGCCCATCTCCTTATCTTCGGAACCCCACTCATAATAAGATTCAGTTTGAGGTTTTTAATTTCATCTTGCAAATTCAGTGCTTGTTCTTGCTAGTTCTTCGATTGCTTGCAGGACGGGAGCCCTAGTGGCTGGTTGTCGCGCTCCACAAGATCGTGACGGCCTTTTGGAGGTGGTGTATCGGTTGCTAAGGCGCGATCTTGGAAGGTCAGAGTCGGGCCGTAAACGTCATCTCCATCCACAAAATCGAGTTATCTCACGCCTCTCATCGAAAGATCGTCCACAAACCCTAGCGGGTTCTTATCAATTGGTAATCAGAGCAAGGTTTATTGGTGAGAGACTTGCAATTCTTCACTGTTTTTATTTTTCCTACAGTTCAGAAAAGCCAAAAAAATAGTAGATTAGTTTCCTGCAATCCTATAAACCTTTGGGCCATGGCTAGTGCTACCTAGTTAGGGCTTGTTGAGTCGTCGGTTGCATCGGTTGTGTCAAGTTGCTGGTCTTAGTTTTAGTCCTTTAGAGTTTCTTGTTCTTGTCACGTTCTAGTCACAACCGGTACGCGTTTGAGTGGTCATCCAACAACCACTTAAGTCATACCATATTTCGAATCTGAGCAGGTTTGGTGATCCATTATTTCTGAATCTAAGTAGATTTCGGTGATTCATTGTTTCCGAATCTGAGTAGGTTTCGGTGATCTAGTTATTTCCGAATCTAAGTTGTTTGCTGTGTGCAAATCCAAGTTTGAGTTGCTAACCGAACGACTCAAGTCATACCATACTTCGAGTGATCTTACTCTATATATAGAGAGAGAGAAAGTGTGAGTGGTGAGTTGCTCATTTGTCATCTCTCTATTCATATAATCAGTTTTGAGTGTCCCCTGCAAAAAAAAAAAAAAAAAGGAAAAAGAAAAAAAACCAAAAGAAAAAGAAAGAGAAAGAAAAAAAGGGGTTGTTTTGTGATTGTTCGTTCGCTTCAGGTGGTGCGTTGTGCCTTCGTTTGTGTCCAGACTCGCGTCTCTAGCACGGTCTAGGCTAGGACCAAAGACAAGATACCACCGGGTTGAACGATTATTCAGCTTGCTTTTTATAACTAACGTGGTGCTAGTTGTTCCTTTACTTTTAGCCCACCTATAGCTCCACATATTTTACAGACTTGATGGTCTTGTCTTTGTGGCACCGATACATTTCATCCATTGCTTTGCAGACTTGTTGGTAGACGACCCCTCTTGTCGAGCAAAGTAAGAATTGGTAAGAACTTGTGTAACAAGTTGAGAGCGAGCGACTTGTTGTAGCTACTTCCTAGTAGTTGTAGGGCTTTTATCTCTTCACTTGTTTTCGTGTTGTCTTTGCCTTTGAACTATGACAGGTCGGTGATGATAAAACTATTCCACATTCACCTCGCACTAAAGGGCATCATACAACATTTTGAAAGGAAAGTGAAGCTACACACCGAGGGCCTTGATAGCGACTTGCGGTGACAAATGAAAAGCTTGGGCGAGTTGGAGGCAACGCAGATTGCCACCAATAACAAGCTCGCAAGTTTGGAGGAATCTGCTGCTAGTGTGGACAAAACCCTTGTCGCTCTTCTAAGGCGTTTTGATGCCTTGCACAATGATGATAAAGAGAAGTATAAAGAAGAAAAGGAGGCAAGTCACGAGGATGGGGGTGATGACGTTGACTACACTGGTGATCTTGAACATGATGATCGAGACACTCGTGAACGCCGTCGTCTCACGTCACAACCGTAGAGGTATGGGTGGCAACCGTCGACGAGGTACACAATAATAACGATGCCTTCATAAGATTAAATTTAAGATACCTCCTTTTGATGGTAAATATGACCCGATGCATATATTACTTGGGAGATTGCTGTTGATCAAAAGTTTGCATGCCATGACTTTCCGAGACTACACGTGTTAAAGGTCGCTACTAGTGAGTTTACTGATTTTGCTTCATTTGGTGGATAGAATATGGCAAGAAAAATCCTAATAAACTACCTAAAACTTGAGATGCTACTGAAACGAGCCATGAGAGCTAGATTTGTTCCATCTTATTATGCTCGTGATATAATAAATAAGTTGCGCAATTGAGACAAGGTGCTAAAAGTGTAGAAGAATATTATCAGGAATTACAAACGGGTATGTTGCGTTGTAATTTAGAGGAGGATGAGGAACCTGCTATGGTTAGATTTTTGGGCGGGTTAAATCGGGAAATTCAGGACATCCTCGCTTACAAAGATACAATAGCATAAACCATTTGTTTCATCTTGCTTGTAAAGCTAAAAGGGAAGTGCAGGGACGACGTGCTAGCGTAAGGACTAATGCTTCTGCAGGGAAAGCTAGTTCATGGCAACAACGCATACGGCTACAACTCCATCTCCACGTACTCCCACGCCATCATCCAAAGTGACAAGACTCGAGTTGCTCCCATAAATTCAGTTGCGAAGACAATACAAAAGCTCATTTGCAAGTACTTCATCCGTGGCATCGACGGGTAGAACAAGCAACATACAATGTCACCGGTGCGAGGGATATGGGCATGTGATGCGTGACTGTCCAAACAAGCGTGTCATGATTGTCAAAGATGATGGTGAGTGTTTATCTCTGCTAGTGATTTTGATGAAGATACACTTGCATTGCTTGCGGCGGTGATCATGCGGTAGTGAAGAACAAATAGAAGAACATGTTAATGCGGATGACGCGGACCACTATGAGAGCTTGATCGTGCAAATGAGTGCTTAGTGCACAAATGGAGAAGGCGGAGCAAAATCAGCGACACACCTTATTTCAAACAAAGTGTGTCATCAAAGACCATTCGTGCCGCATGATCATTGATGGGGTAGCCGCAACACTTGGCAAGCGGCGACATGATGCACGTAAGCTTGCACTCACCACCAAACCACACCATCATCTCTACTACATCCAATGGCTGAACAACAATGGTAAGGCCAAGGTAACTAGACTTGTGCGAATCAATTTTGCCATCGGGACATATAAAGATATTGTTGAATGTGATGTTGTGCCTATGCAAGCTTGCAATATTACTCGCTAGGTAGACCTGGCAATTTGATAGGGATTCTATGCATCATGGTAGATTAAATCAATATTCTTTTCTATACCATGATCGAAAAATTGTGTTGCATCCTATGTCTCCTGAAGCTATTATGCAAACCGATGTTGCTAGGGCTGCTAAATCCAAGAGCGAGAGCAATAAAATGACAAATCTATAATTGAAGAGAAAGATGAGATAAAACCGAAAGGACGATGTATGCTTGCCACAAAATCTGATATTAATGAGTTCAATGCATCCACCTCTGTTGCTTATGCTTTGGTATGCAAGGATGCTTTGATTTCAAATAAGGATATGCAACGTTCTTTGCCTCCTATTTTTTGCTAACGTTTTGCGGGAGTATTCGATGTGTTCTAAGTGAGATACCAAAGGGCTGCCACCAATCTGCTGGATTGAGCACCAAATTGATCTTATTCCTGGTGCATCTTTGCTAAACCGCTGCGCCATACAGACAAATCCGGAAGAAACAAAGGAAATTCAGCGACAAGTGCAAGAACTACTAGACAAAGGTTATGTGCGTGAATCTCTTAGTCCTTGTCTTTGTTCCAATAATTTTAGTGCCTAAGAAAGATGGAACTCAAGGCGTATGTGTGTTGATTGTAGGGCTATTAATAATATCACCATTCGATATCGACACCCTATTCCACGATTAGATGATATGCTTGATGAATTGAGTGGTGCTGTTCTGTTTTCAAAAGTTGATTTACGTAGTGGGTACCACCAGATTCGTATGAAATTGGGAGATGAATGGAAAACGGCTTTCAAAACTAAGTTCGGTTTTGTATGAGTGGTTAGTAATGCCTTTTGGGTTAACTAATGCACCTAGTACTTTCATGAGATTAATGAATGAGGTTTTGTGAGCTTTCATTGGGAAATTTGTTGTCGTCTACTTTGATGATATACCGATTTATTTACAAAGAAATCCATAGATGAACACCTTGATCACTTGCGTGCTGTTTT